TGCACAGGCCAGCCCCATGCAACAAAGAATTATGCTGAGCACAGTGTCAGCCGTGCCCAGGCTAAGGAAGACTGAACTAGAGCCTTATGTAGTTCCTTTCTCATTAGTAAAACCGAGATCATATTCTCTTTCTAATCCATGGGGTGCTCATGATGCTCGAGGAAAATTCTTCTCATGAAAGTGTTTTATAAATGACAAAGGACTATAGACAAATACCCTCAGTGTCTGGCACCATGCCTTATGCAGAATAGATGCTCAAAAAATATTTGTTCAATGAATGAATGAATGAATTGCCAGGAGTCCCTTCCCAAGATTGACCTTTTGTTTTCTCATTTGTGACTAAGGAAAAGGATAGTACTATGTGTGCTGGGGACCTTGTGAGGATCGCAGAGACACTGTGCATTGGTCTATACGGGGCATCTCTGACTGTTTCCGGTGGAAAGGTATCACAAAGTCTTACCCTGTGTTTTCCAGATGGAACCCTCAAAGCCTGGTATTCAGAAACAGTATGCTTCAGGTTTCCCCAAGTTCCGGCACCTGTTTCCTGGTTGGGAATCTCTCCACTCCTCCATGATGCCCCAAATCTTTTTGTCCTCCTTGTCTTTTCTCACCTTCTGCAACCAATGAGCATATACCCAACAGGGTTTCCAGCCTTTTTAGGAGCCAGGAATACTTACTATCAGAGACCCCATTGCACATCACCAAAACATGAAAATGTGCCGACATCAAATGAAAAAAAAATAGTGTATGACTTTATGAAGATTGGATTGCCTAAAGTTACATTTAAGAGAATTTAAACATGTATTAATTTCAATATTTTAGTCTGTTTTCCCATTTTGGAGTCAATGATATTCTCTGATAGCAAATATAATTATAGGCCCTTGAAAAGCATTTGTGTCTTTGGTGGTTTATATACTAAAAAAAAAGTCTTCTTTGCTTTTTGTCCATTGGTGGGTTTTCCTTCTTCCCTTTTCCTGTTTGCTTACAACAGTCAGTGACCATTCCAGAGTCTATAAAGCATCTGGAAACGGTTATTTCCAGTTTGGTGGGTGATAGTTCATGTTATTTAATGCTGTCAACTTGCAAACATGATCTTGTATCCATATTTGTCCAAGAGTGTGATGACCAGACCCCACATTTGCTATGTGCATTGTGGACTGCAAAGGGCTTTCTCATACATTATCCATTTGTCCTCATTTGATTCTCACAATGGTCCAGTGAATTGAGCATGATATATATTACAGTTACTCCTGATTTTACCAAGGAGAATCCAAAGCTTAGGGAAGTGTAGGGACTCGTTCAAGGTTATAGAGCAAGTGGCAAAGCCAAGATGAGAATCCACATCTCCTGGATTTCTTGGGTGCCATGCTATTTTCAGATCTTTAGTCGGCTGTGGGAAAGAATTATTCTTGGAAAAGGAGATTAAGCAAGACTTGAGCACTGGGATAGCTTTGGAGGTGTGTGTGTGTACATGTGCACTCGTCCGTGTGTGTGTGTGTATAATAATAGAATTCTAGCCTTGAACATTCTCTATTTGCCCTATAGGCAATGGGATCAAATTAATTAGTTCAACACATACTTATTTAGCGATGGGCACTGTTGTGGGTGCTGGGGATATAACAGATAACAAAAAGACCACATCCTTGCCTCATGCAGCTCATTTACAACAGATAAATGATAAATTAGCAATCGATATATAGTATGGTGGATGTTGATTACTGTTAAGGAAAAAAAATAAAGCAGGGTGAGGGGGTGGGAAAATGGGGGAGGGATTACTGTTTTATTTAGGGAGGTCAAAGGTGGCCTCAGCAGTAAACGGCATTTGAAAAGAGACTTAAAAGAAGTGAGGGGGTGTGTCCTGTGGATACTGGGGGCATGCTGGCAGAGATGAGGCTGTGCAAAGGCCTTGAGGCGGCGACATGTTGGGTACATACGAGAAATAGTATGGAAACCAACCTGCCTGGGGGAGAAAAAGTAGATTGGAATGGAGGGAGAGTTATTGGCAGGAAATGAGGTGAGAGGTATCCAGAAAGGAGAAGGAAGACAGGGAATATCCTGAAGGATGTTACAGGTCATTGTGAGGGCTTTGGTTCTTATTCTAAGAGAGACGGGGATGCCTTAAGGACTTTTACTATAAGCATTACACGATCTGATATACAGTCTTGGAGGATTTATGACGCTTTGATTGGCCCTCTGTTAAGATATTCCTGGTTAGTAATATTTCTACCTTGAACAAGAGACTCAGTCCTGCTGTGGGGGTGTGTGTGGGGGTTCTTTTCAAGCATGCTCAAGTGCTGTGGTAAAGTTCAATTTTAGTAATTCATTCGTCATTCAGATCAGTGGTTGAGCTCCACCTAAGTGCCAGGAGCTACCCTAGGCTTTGGGGGTTCAAGAGTGAGACGGACAGGGCCCCTGCTCTCAGGGAGCCTCTACAGTGAAGAAATACAGACAGTAAACAAGTGAACAAATAAAAGATTTCAGCTAGTATAAAGGGCTAGGAAGAAAATAAAACAGAGGGAGACGTCATGATGATGCCGTTGTAGGGGCTACTTTAGATTTCCGTTGGATTTTGAAATGTGGAACTTAGGCAAAAAAATCTTACACATGTGGGACAATTTACAGTTTACAAATTCAAAGAGGCTGGCAAAAAAAAAAAAAGTGTTAATTATTCTGACTTTTTAAATGAGAAGCTGAGGTTCAGTGAGATTAGGCCACATGCCCAAGGCATGTGGGATCTGAGTTTGGGATCTGAGTCCAAGTGTTCTCTAATTTTCAGTACCAAAACATTTCTCACAGTGTGCACCGCTATGAAACGGACAGTAGGGCCGGGTAACCCTGGGACATAGGATGAGGGAATGAATGAGCAATGGTTAGGCAAGGCAAGAAGCATGTGCCAACGCAGGAAGAGAATGCGAAAGAATAAGTATGGTAGCTGGCTCCCCCTAAGGTCACATAGGACAACTGATAGGATGTAGAGGGCCTAACATCCCCACATGCCCAACTTTCCATAGGACCCAGATAATCTGATCTCAACAGAAGAATCCCTGCCTTGGATGGCTGCTCTCAGCAACCCCAGGCTGGGGAGAGCCCAGGGTCACATGTGGTTTCAATCACTGCATTTATCTGCATCATTGTCATCATATTTGGAAGATGACTGAAACCTCATTTCTGTCCCAGGCCTCTCCAAATTGTGCAGGGGGTACAAATCAAATCTGGAAAAGCTACCTCATCTTTGGCAGTTCAGAAATAGGGAGAGGCTTCAGGAATGTACAGTAATGTCCCACCCATACCCCTTCCCCCCTTTATTAAAACAGATCTGAAACAACAAATGTCTAAAATTTTCCACTGGATCATTTTCCCCCTGCCTTGTTATAACCATGCCCTTCGTCCACGCCCTGCTGGAGTTTTTTGCAGCCTGAGGGAAGCCGGGAAGTGTCTGTCCCTAGCTCTCAGTCACTCCCATAATAAACAATCACTAAACAGCTTGCAGCCCTAGGCAACTGTTTGTCCGGCCTGGCCAGACTCTGTGGACTTCAGCTAGGGAAGAGGGTGGGAGATGTTCTCTGTAAAGCAAAATTCAGGCTCTGAGGCCGGGGAGCTTGACTTTGACCAGAAATGTTGTTTGGGAGCTGGCACATCTCTGTGGGCCTGGAGGACACCTTTAGGGAGACTGCAGGTCTTTATCGGAGCTGTCTAATGAAGTTCCCTGGGGGTAGCTGGCGCTTGGGGCTGCAGCGTGGGAGGGCAGTTGCCAGAAGGACCAACCATCTAGCACTAACTGGAAATAAGGTCATTTCCTGCCTCAAGTTTCCCTTCTACAGCTGGGACAGTTGGCAGTTCTACCAGTCATCCATTCCTAAGAGACATCTCCTTAGAAACCACCACCCCACCACTACAAAAAGAGAAGAACATCACTTTAGGGACTGGGACCAGCTTAAATTAACCTGTTTCTCTCCAGTCATTAGAAAACCCCCCCCACACACCCCCCGCGGTGATTGGATCTCTTGGAAGCTTTCTACAGAATAGACGAAGGGACTTCAGGAAGCGAGGAAAGGATGTGCACGTAGATAATGAGGATTTAGAATAGATGTCTTCTGTCAGCACAGAGACACGAAGAATTGCAACGATTCCTCTTGATTGTAATATTTCCTCTTTATTGGGGGGGATTGGGGCGTGTCCTTGGGGGCAGAAAAAGCAAAGCTGGGCTTTGTAGGGAATAAAGGACCTGTTTAAACGCTTGGTAGGAAATTAAAATACTGGTCCTTAGAGGGTCGAAGGTGGGCGGGGAGAGGCTTCCTTCTGGTCGGCGGTGGCATTCTATGAAGTCTTTTCTCCCCCACCCCTCGGGCTCGCCACACCGCTCCATTTTCGAGCATCTTTCCCCAGGAACCCGCACACTCCCTGCCGCCTGCTCGGGGAGGCGTTCCCGGCAGGCAGCCGAGGAGACCGGATTCTCGGGGGTGCCCTGGGAGCGCCGGCCGGTCCCTGCTCCCGCGGGCGCCTCTGGGCGGCGCTGGCTGCCGGCGCAGCGACGGTAGGCGGTGCGGCCCAGGCCCGGATCCGGGTCCCGGTTCGGCCGAGCC